TTTTTACGTTGAGTTTTGAGTGTAGAATCGATATTTTAAATTTTAAATCAAGAGATATTTAGTCTAAAGTTTTTTTAGTTCAAATATTTAGTATAAAGTTGCATCACATAAGATGATAACACTACAAGATTGCTTTACCCTAATCCCACTCCATAAAGATATCAAGCAACGAAATGACTTGTGCACTCGTGTGAATATATATATATATATATATATATATATATATATATATATATAATTTAAAACTATATAAATTATTATTTAAATATTATATTTTGATTGCGAAGTCTTAACAATAATAATACTTGCAAAGGAGCCTAATATTGTATTGTGAACTCTCCGGCCATGTCACTATCCAATATGGTTTTTATTATTATTATTATTATTATTATTATTATTATTTTAATATTCAAATTGACCTAGCTCAACTTAGTGACTAACGCCTGGTATTTCCTTTTTCCATATAACTCATTAATGTCCAAAATAAATAAAGAATATTTGTTACACTCGTAATCATAAAATATCAATGTGGACTCTCAATTAAAGCTACAAATGAACTTGGTTGAGTTCGATCAAAGATAATTAATTTAAATGTGATTCACTTGATTTAAAAAATAAATAAATAAAAGAAAAACTAAAATGGACTCCAACTCTGTTTGGACCAACTCTTTTTTCTTTTTCTTTTTCTTTTTTTTTTTTTTCTTTTTTTTTTTTTTTTTCCCCTAGTCAACGATTTAATGCAGCAATTTTTTGAGTTCACCCCTATCAATTATGATCCATTGCAGGCTTATTATTATTGATATTGATACAACAACACTCACATTACCAATTTTGATGACACTGTGCATGCGTTTGGTAAAGGGAAGGAATGGGGTGGGGGAGAGGAATGAAGTAAGCTTCCCATATTTGGAAGGAAATGATGAGGAAGAAAAGTAGAATGGAAGGAAGGATTGACATTTTCCAAGTGCTTTCCATCCAAAAGTGAAAGCTAGACAAGGGTGAAAAGGTGACATGTGATGATTAAAATTGAAATAACGTTATTAACTTTTTGAAATATAAAATGTAAATCACATATTTTAGTGATCAAAATAAATTTCAAATCGAGTTATAATTTTTTATTTATTTGAGTTTCAGTGTCCGAAAAATTTAAGTGAAATTATTCACTGACAACTTTGATTTGGCAATGAACAAAATGTTAACGATTATTAACTCCCTCCAACCTACTTAAGAGTTGACTGTTATTAAAAGTTAAATTACTCATCCATTACACACAAAGAAAGTATTATCACATCACATCAACACAAGCATTTATGGATATCACAATCATACACATTCACACACAACAAAAAAATTTATATGGTTCACCTAACTCTAGGGCTACGTCCATGTAGAGAGATATTTCATTATTATAAATCAAGGAAGAGAATATACAACCAAATGTCAAAACCCCACACACTCCATCATCATCTTTTTTGAGACTTCATCTATACACTCAGAAATTATATATATTCTCCATTTTTCTCGCAACACTCACCCTTAAATCCCTTACATCTTTTCTCTATTCTCTCTCTCTAAACCTCTCACATCCTTGTTGAACAAGTATTCATTAACTTGTCTACAAGGGGTTACTATATATATCAATCTTCAACTCTAAAATAGCAGTCTTCTGGTTTCCACGATCAACTGGTTCAACTTTTCTTGAATGGGTTCAATTGGGGTTACAATCTTTTTCTTTTTTTTTTTTTCCTAGCTGGGACTCACACACACTGCCTCCACTGAGGTTCGAACCCCTGACCTCCCTTTGGGAAATAGGAACCTTGTACCGCTAAGTCACAGACCTGTTGGTGGTTACAATCATGTCTAACTGGTTCAAAAATAAGTTAAGCTGGTTCTAAATAGCTTAAACATGTTCACTTTTGCCAGTATTCGCAAACCGAATTCGAGCCATAAAACTCAACACAACATTAAAGTGAAGGTAAGTGCCTAATGTTTTCTGGTGTTCCAACCCGTTGCACTTAATTTTAGAATTGGTTGCAAATTTTAGCTAAAATAGCTCTTAGGATATTTCCAACCGGTTGCATTTTTACAAGAAAACAACACTCGGGATAAGTTCAACTGGTTACAATTTGAAGTAGAACTGGTTGCACTTCCCTAAACCAAAAAGGAAAGTTTTTATTTTTGTCAACTTATAATACCTTTTAAGTTTGAATTATAGGGAGGTTTTAACACGAAATTGGACATGTTTTCTAACCTTAATAGGAGTGTCTATATAAACTCATATTCACACACGATTTATCATGGCTTTTTCATTGAAGATTTTAAAACCATAAAAGAGCCTTTGTGTGAGTTTTTCAGAGTTTATTATTAGTTTTTGTTTTTAAGAGCACACACATATACACTTGAGTGATCTAGGTTGTTGTTCATCGTTTGATCGGAATTTGTGTAATTGAATATTCTATAGCTACCGGTCGTAAAGTAAAATTTTTTAATAAAAGGAGGATCACATTTTGAAGGGAACAAGACATTCGTAGAGTATTGGTTGATTTACTAACGATCCTTCTTCAGATATCAAGAATAAGTCTAAAGTCGAGAGATGTTGAACTGGATAATTGGAAAGTCAGGGACAACATAACATGTGTTATTTTCTTACAGGGATGGTTACCAATTGGTTTTTGGTAGAATTAAAGGGTGTGAGCTTGAATCAAACTTCAATGTACTTTACTACATATACAGTGGATCTTTTCGCTCAAACCGCGTGACCGTATTAGAGATTTGTCCGGTTGTTATATGATTTCTTCAACTAGATTTCCTCGCTAAAAGCTTGGTGTCTCTCTAAACTCTATCTTATGCACAAATTGAATAAAGAGCAAGATGAACTTACTAACCCTTTGCTTATCATGACTACTCTCTCTCCTTTTTTTTTTCTCTTTTTTTTTCACTTTGGTGAAAGAGAATGTTAGGAAACACAAATCATTTAGGGTCTGTTTACTAACAGAAATGATTCCTGAATTTTACTGTCAATTCCTAAAATTGAGAAACAAAAGTAAAAATCATGTTTAATAAAATACTTACACTTTTTTGTTTTAAGAAAATACTTTCTAATTTTGTAAAGAGAAGATTTTTATACTGTTCACAAAAATTACTTTATATACTGTAGCACTAAAAAAAAAAAAACCCATCTCTCTCCTCTCTCATACACATCAAAAGGAATCTAACAATATTTCCAAATCAACTTCAACTAGTCAAAAAAAAAAAAACCCTCGCCGTCGACAACCACCAGCCACCAGCCACCATCGCCATTGCCGACAATATAACATTCAATTGATTGAGACTTCGAGAGTTGCAGCAGGGAGTGTTCGCACCTTATAGTAGGTGAGGCTCTAGGGGTTTTGATCTCTATTCCATGTTCGAATTCGATGTCTTCAGTCTTCTTTCTTCTTCTGAATCTCTGTGTTTTAATTCGTATGATCTGTGATTTATACATATATATACATGTATAGATGTATAAGCGTATACCTAATATTGCAATTCCTTGATTGTATGCCAAAAATCTGAGTGGATCAAGGGATCTATTGGTAGGCTACAATAAATATACATATATATGTATATGTGGCTCCCTTTAGCTCCGACTATTCTTTCATCTGAAAATAGGATTTCTCGGTGACAAGGCAGATACATCTATTTGTATACATCTGCTGAAATTTGTGCTTGCTTAGTTCGTGATTGAGGAAGCCAAACAATACCCAGATACCTTTTACAGAGAGAGGAAGATGACCAAGAAAACAAAAATAAAATTATAATTTATTAAACTTACTTTCTATTTTTTTTGTTTTCAAAATATTAAAAATAAAAAAAATTATTGAACATGATTTCACTTTTTATTTTATTTAAAGAAATCAAAAACATAATTTTACTTTTAAAAAAAGTAAAAATAAGAAAGTGAAAACATTAATAAACGTGCCCTTAAAATATTCCGTCACGTCTAATGGCGGATCAAAATCTTCCCATCACTTTTTTCGCGATTTTATTTGGTGGGTGTAGTTGATGATTATTAATGATGAATTTTGTTATTATAATAGTCATGGTTCGTTGTATCGATTCATAAGTGATGTATTATTAGGTTTGTAATTTTTTTAAAAAAATTGGATACGGTTATATAATTCCATGATAATATTAATATCGTGACTACGAATTATAATAATAGTGTGAAATTCACTTATTTAAATCTCTTTATTATTTATTTGCATGGCAAGTGAATTTCACATCGTTATAACATGCGAGCGATGAACTTCACCCACCAAAACAAAAAAAAAAAATAACCATGTAACAATGTGACCAGGGAATTTTAATCATGTGATCAAAAGATAGTGCTTGTGCAGTAGGCTAGTAGCTAGAGAACTCTACCATTCCCCCCTCCAAATAGACTTGTTATTTATTTACTAATTCCGTATTCATACGCGTCACATTCTTTAACTAATTCAAGTCTTTCTTTTTCAAGATCTTTAACTAATTCAAGCCTTTCTTTTTCAAATGACCTAATCCAAAGATATGCAAGTACTATCAACTTTAATTATTTATTTGACATCATTTTCAAACTACCAATTGATAAAAGTAAAATTAATAACAACTTTAAATTTTGAGAAGCTATATTTTATAGGGACAATATTTAAATCTTTACGGACAAAAATACTTAAATCTTTACGGGCAAAAATATACACTATATCTTTATGGTGTGGATTAATAATACGCAACATATCTTCTTTTATTTACTAAATCAATAATGATGGAATATATATTCATTTGTCAAAATAAGTTAAATGATTAATTATCATCTTTAATTTAATAATTAAAATAAAGACATCTTCATTTATTAGTAATAACCAAGATACCTAAGTATTGTCCATTTTATTAGCATGTTGAATATATATATATAAATAGAGTTTCATGTATTGATACTTTTCAATGTAAGCCCACTAACATTATTCACAAATACTGTAATCTTCCACTTCAAACTCCCAAAAAGTGCCATCTTTTTATTAAGAAAAGCTACTATGTATATAAATATACATTGGCCTTTTTAGATTCACCAAAAAAAAATACAAGATTCCACTTAAACAAAGTAAAAAAGGAGTCTCCTAAAATGAAAAAAAACCAAAAAGGGTAGGTAAAGTAAAGGTTTAGGACAACACTTGGGAGTGGTGGGTCTCACTCTTGTCAAGCCTTACCCCAGCTCAGCAAACAACACTGAACTTAGGGTTTTGATCAACTCAGTTAGGTGTCACAACCGAGTTGACTCAGATCCTAGCTAAGTTTCCGATCTGAAGTTAGGGTTTTGATACTCCATGACGCCTCTAACTGAGTTGACTCGGATCCTAGCTAAGTTTCCAAGCTGATTGAGCAGAGTTAAGTTCGAGAATTGTGAAAAGGTGTTTTACTGAGTTGACTCGGATCTTAGGTGAGTTTCCAAGCGGAAGTGGAAATGAGTGGCCGAGTGTGCCAACCCAGCAACAGACATCCATCGTTCTCTTCCACTCTGTAACCATCCCCGCCGTTGAACAGAGCCAACAACATGCTCGCCTGCTTGAACGCGTTGGAGCCCAAGTGAACCGGCTCCAACCCAGCCGAACCCAACCTGACTCGCCACTGAGTCAGCGACTCGTGTCGCTCAACTCGGTCCGACCCTTCACAGGCCACAACGTTCAGTATCTGCTTCCCCAAGTACACCTCCGACATGACCCTGTCCTGATCACTCACCGTTGCCGCCGCCGCCACAGACAAAGAACCACCACCAGCACCGCCGCCGCAACTCTCCAACGAGTCGAACATAGTCGAGTAGTAATGCAACGACTCGGTGAACCGATCCAAGAAACTCACCCCATTGTGGCTCGCTTCTTGCTCCACCACCGTCAATATCTCCGGCTTCATCTCTTTCACTGCCGACAACACCTTCTCAATTGCACCAGGCCGAGCCAACAATTCATGCAATTCGAACACCGAATTCACAGCCACAACCTCATCCTCTTTCAGATGAAGCATCGATGCTTCCAGATCGGCCAAACTGTTAGCCACAAACCCTCTGAATTCAAACTCCACATGAATCGTATCCGCCAATTGAGCCAATTTCCAACCCACTTCCTGCAAATGGTCCGTACCGTCGTGTGACGGCGGCCCAATTCCGGTCAACCTAAACGCAGGTGGACCGCCAGGCCGGAGAGCCAAAGCCTGCATCAGAGCCGGCCATTGCATCCCCTGTTTCAAGCTGAAATCGATGACGTGAACTCGATTCTTGTTCTCGAAAGCCTCGAGAATGGCCTGATTGGCCGTGAAGTGAGCGAATTTGAGGTAAGGACAGGTCTCGTAGAAATGCATTTGCAGAAGCTCAGAGAAGGCCAAGTCCTGAGGCTGGTTCTGTGGGTATAATCGGTAGATTCGCCGGGCGAGAGCTTCGGCGAAGTAGACAGCGACCTTCCTCATCGCTCCGGCCTGAGACTCGGCCAGGAATCTGATTTGCCTGACCAGAGCTTCGGCGGTCTTGAGATTGTCTTGTTGCACAGCTTCTGCACAGGCCATGAGTGCGTGGACCAGTCGAATACCATTTTCTTGGGAATCAACCAGTATCACCGGCCTTGAAGATTGAACAACGTCGTTCGAAACACCCAAAATCCCAATCGGCGATGTGGGTGTGATTGTTGATGAAGAATCTGAATTGGGTTTCAAGCGTTTGTTCGGCGGTGATGATTCGATTTGGTGTTGTGGGTAAAGTGCTTGACCTGGTATGGCTTTGAGATCGTAATCACAAGATGTGAAAAATGGGTCCGAATTAGAGAGAGGATTGAGCTCGGAGATCATCGATTCGAGCCAAGTAGAGAGATCTGAAGGATTGTAGTGAACGGTGTCTGAGACTAAGTCTGACAATCCATCTTCTTGAGCATTACCCATCGCTTGTTCGAGCTGCTCCAGCTTCTGAGCCACTTCGGCCATGTCTGATGACTTCACCTTGTAACCCAATACCGCCAGTAGCTCATCCACTCCGGCGTCTTGTTCGGTTTCCTCCCACATCTTAGATTTTCCGTTAGCAGCCGCCGCCGCCGCCGAAGAACCACCACTATCGGCGCTTTGATAAGGAGGAGGACGGTGTTGTTGTCGCTTCATATCTTTCTGTAACTATTGGTGGTTCAGAAGCTCTTGGTGTGGATTGGGGTTTGAGAAAGAGGAGAGAGAGTGTCACAAAACCAAAGAAGGGTTTCAATAGGTGAAGAATCTGAGCATATGGGATTGGGTGGGCTTGCTTTGTTTTTCACAAATTTTTGAGTTTTTATATTTTTATTTTATTATTTTTTATTTATTTATGTAGTATTTATTTTTTCTGAGAATGAGTGAGAAAAGAGTGAGAGGAGAGAGAAAGTAGCAGGAGGGAGAGAAAGTAGCAGTAGAGAGAGAAACAAGAAACGCTCGTGACAGGGCCCGAGCTCCAAAGAAGCAACAGGCACAAAACCAAATCAGATAAGATGAAGGAGCTGGATTGTTTTTCACGCGCTTATTAGTGTTGACAATACGCGTGGAACTGACAGACCAAGCCGTCGCGTCAAAAACATTTCAAACGGGACGGCAAAATTGTTCACGGAGTCAATAACGGCCTCTCTTCCTTGTTACACTCTCACCTCCTCCAAGTGCCTTCACTTTCTCTTTTATTAAATTATTTTGTTATTATAAATAATAAATAAATAAAATAATAGTATAAATATATAAAATACAATTTAACAAAATTTAATTTCAATTACTATTCTCAAATGAGTATCTTTAAAATAATATAATAGTATAGATACATAAAATACAATCAATAAAATCTAATTTTAGTTATTAATTAAAAAATTTTGTTTTAGTCCAAATATAATTTCTTATTAGTTGATAGAGAAGAAAATACAATGGGAAAATAATTTTGTTTTCATATTAGAAATAAAAATAAATAAAATAATACTAGAGATAAATAAAATACGATGAATAAATTTTAATTTTAATTATTATTCTCAATTATGTATCTTTAATTAAAATAATACTATAGACATATAAAATATGACCAATAAAATTTAATTTCAATTATTATTCCCAATTAGGGCTCTTTTAAAATTAGTTCTTTTAATTATTTGAAGAGTTTGTGTTTAAGATTGTATTTATCACTAAAAAGTAAAAAGTAGAGTTAGGAAAAGTTTGTGTCTCTGATTAAAAAGTAGATTGTATTTAGTCTCTGATTAAAACTCTTTATTTACTTTGTTGAAATAAAATAGAAAAGTTTATGTCTAATGAAAACTCTTTTAGGAAAAAAAATAAATTTATATTTAGGAAAGAGTTAGAAATATAATAGAATATAAAAGGTAAATTGATTATTAAAATTGTATTATGTAAATAATCTTTCAAATATATGCATAGAGTAGTGACAACAACAACAACAACATATGCGGAAAGCCAAAATGGTATAAGCTCTCCTTTCCAAACGGATGGTTAAGTGTTTGAACCTCTCATATATATATATTGTGTGTGTGCGCGTGTGTTTTCTTGAACTTAAAAATAAAAAACAAAAAAGTAAGTCATTTTTTTATAACTCTTTTTACTTTTTATTTTTACTTATCTTTAATTTAATTATTAGTTAACCTTTTAGGAAAAAAAGAAAAGAAAAGAAAAATAACATATGCAGAAAGTAAGTATGGCGTGCGAATGCTGATATGGATGAGCGATGAGGCTAAAAATGATAAAATTAGAATTGATCACATTCGAGACATTGAAGAGTTGTATGTTGTAGACATTAAGCACACCAAAAGTAGATCTTTAAGTGCGCCAAAAGTTAAGGTGGGTGGAATAAGTAATAAAGGATATTATATCATTTGATTTGACTAAGAATATTAGTGAGGCAAAAACAAAAAAAATAACGTTGTTCGAGGAATAATCATAAGTAATCACAAAGAATAAAAACAATTACATACACGAACATAAGATTTACATAGTTAGGGGCGGAATCAAGATTCAATGTAAGGGGGGCATAGTATTAACAGTTTTACCATTATAATATAATAATATTTTAAGTCAACAATACTTCATGATCTATTAGATGCATGCAAAAATATATCTAGCTAAAATTTGGCCAATTTGTTTACAAAACAATAATTGGCCTATATCTAGTCAAACATGACATAGATATATACAAAAAGAAACCTAAAAGACCAAACAACTACTACAAAAGCTGAGCAATTTCTTTTTCAATACTGACGCTCATGTAATCTGCAAGAAACTCATCCTCCATTCTATTGCGCAATTGTGATTTGACAAGTTTATAGTTGAAAATGCCCTTTCTGTAGTTTTCGTAGAAACGAGAAGAATCAAGACAAGACGAATCAACCTATTAATCAACTAGTAGATTTTTGACTTCTTTGTTTCCACTAATCCTCTACATAATTCAAAAATTGTTGACATATTTTTCAAATATGAATGAACATGCACTTCAACCTCATAATGTTGCAATTGGAATGTCAAAATAATCCTCTGTTGGTCCGTAAAATCTTGAGGATAAAATTCATCTACAAGCATGCAAATGTTTTCAATGTTAAAGAACTTGTAACCATCTCTAGGATCCAAAGCTGATCTGAGAGTAACAAGTTTCATTGCCTTTTCACTAAATCTGTTATTCAACTCCTGTAATTGTGCATCAATTATGCCATAAAATATATCAATCCGAAAGAGGTGCTCAAGTATAATATTCTCTTGTGGGTGACGTAACTGGCTCTTAATTTTTTTGGTATAAGGAACACTCAAATCAGGCACATCAATGTTGTGGCACTCATAAAATGATTTAACAATATCAAGTAAGTTGTTCCAACCATTTTCTCTCAATTTCAGAATGATTTGTCTTGTACTCGAAACCAATTGCATAACATTTACTATGTCTTGAGATTTTTGTTGTAAAGCTCGACAAAGGATGTTAGTTACTCCCATGATATCTTTTATCAAATGCAAAATAAACACAAACTGAAATGATCTAAGAGTATTAAAAGTAGTATCAGCATCTCCCTGACTCTTGTAATTATATCCATCTTCAATGATGTTTTCAAGAACTGAACATGTTGGACCAAATAACCTTATCAAACTACAATTAAAATCAAAATGGGAGCTCCAACGAGTATTTCCAGGTCGTTGCAAGGTACCAATCTGATTAGCTCCTCGGCTGGTTTCAAGTTCATCAAGATCTATCAAATGGGCAATTTCCATAACTTAAGCAGAATGTAATTCAACAGTTCGTTTGTAAGAAGCTCTGATGCTATTAATAATGAAGTTCAACTTTGAAAAAAATTGATGGACGGCGATTACTTTTTTAGATGCGGCAACTAATTCTAGTTGTAGTCGGTGGGCTAAGCAATACACGTAATATGCATAAAGACAATCAGTAAGAAATAATGCTTGCAAACTATTCCATTCACCACGCATATTGCTAGCACCATCATAACATTGACCTCGGAGATTGTGAACATCAAGATTATAGTGAGGAAGAATCGTACAAAGATCCCTTTTTAAATTCAATGAAGTTGTATCTTTGACATGCACAAGATCAAAGAAACATTTTTATAAAAAACCATCCTTATCAATGTATCTTAAAACGAGAGCCATTTGCTCTCTTTTAGATTCATCACGAGCTTCATTAACAAGAATGCAAAACTTGACATCGCCGATATCTTCATGAATCTTACTTCTCACTTTTCTAGAAAGAATATGTAAAATCTCCTTTTGAATTTGTAGTGAGGTATACTTGGCATTTTTTTGGAGCATTTTTAAGAACAATTTTAGCAACATCATCATTATATGACGCAAAACCATTTACCAATTTAATGAAATTTCCTCGATTACTTGAATGAAGGGATTCATTATGCCCTTCAAAAGTACAAGCTTGATAAGTAAGCCATCGGACCGCATCAATTGTGACCTTCAATCTCAATCGGTTATTTGAAACTTGTTCAGAAGTTTGTCTAACCATCACTGTATCAATATGACAAGGTTGATTCATTAAGTCCTTACATGCTCTCTCAGCAATGTTATGAGCAGAACATGGACTTCCTCCCACATGATTTAAGAAAGCACACTTATTGCCATCATTAACTTTTGTAATACCCCAAATTTTAAAAGGATAGTCTCGGTATTTTAATTAATTATGTTATTTCATTTTTATTTGATTATTGAATTTTTTTGCTTAATTGTTTATTGTTTTTAGTTAATTGAATTCTTTATTTTAATTGTTTGTATTTAATTATATTATTTGTTTTATTAATGTATGCTTATATGGCAATTTGATTATTTGTTTTCATTAATTGTTTAATTAGGTTTTGAGGTTAATTTTAATTATATATTTTTAATAATGTTAAATTAGGTTTTTATTTTCTGTTTAGATAATCACGTGGTGGCTGACTAGTTAAATTGTTTTAATTGTTTTTCCGTTTCCTCACAAGATTAGAATTAGGATAAAGTGGTTGGTCTATAAATATACTTGTATAAGTCTGCCGAGGGTTTTAGAACCCTATCACGACCAGTGGAGGTAGAGAGAAAGAACAGAGAGGTTTGAGAGGGAACTAAGAGGGAGAATTAGGGTTTGGTTAGGAACAAGGGCTAAACTAAGGAGGGGTGATTGAAGCTTGCTCGTGGGTTGAACTAGGAGCAACAGTGGTCTGTGATAGCAACCAAGTTCGTCGGATTAATTAGCAAGGAAGAAGTTTGAGGTTTTGAACCAAAAATCTCAAAGGCAAGTTCTATTTCTTGCTCTTTTCCTTTGACCTGTGTTCTGTGCATGCCTAGATGATTTCCAGGAACTAAACAAACATTAAAATTGATTATGTATACATATGATTCAGAGTTTAAACCATTGTTACATGTTGATAATTGAGATTGAATTATTGTATCAATTGTTTCGTATTATGTAGTTTAATTGTTGTTCATGATTCATATTATGTTTTAAAATTTTCTGGGATAGTATTGGGACATAGACGGACCTCTGGAAACCTAAACAAAACATTACAGAGGGTTTAACATCATCGGAGATGAAGATGATGATGGGAAATAGGGACAGAGCCAGCTCTCAAGGGGATGGAGTCGGCTCCCTAAGTATTTTTGCCCGCAACTCTCTATGAGAGAGAGAGCCGGCTCCATGGTGAAGGGAACCGGATCCCTAAGGCACAGAACCTGCTCCAAGGGTAGGGGAGCCGGCTCTCATGGGTACAGAGCTGGCTCTCAACTTTTGAGAGCTTGCTCTCTTGCTTAAATGCATACTGGAAGTGGTTTTAAGCACTGTTTTGATATTTTTGGGGTTCCTGTACTGTTTTGGGTTAATATTGAGGATTCTAAATCTTATTTCATGTTGTATTAAAACCCCATATTGCATAATTAATATCTATATGCTAATGAATTGAACAGTATGAAAGTTTAAACAAATTTTGCATACTGTTAACGGATATAAATGATTTAATTACTTAGTCTTATTTTAGCAATTTAAATGACTAGAACATGATTTTTAAGTCTTGTATTGGATACATAATATGGTCATATACATATTAGACTTTATTTATACTTATTTTGGAGTATGATTGATGAACTATTTATACTTGTTTTGTCAATTATACAGATTTTGTGGATTGTATGCATCGGTATGGGAGGGTGGCATACTAGGGACGAATTAGTTTAAAATACTAAGTCCTACCTACTCTAAAATAAAGGAATGGATTAACATTTAAATCCTACTTATATTTCGTGTCAAGGCAATGAATAGTTGAGTGACACTACTTTAAATGTGGATGGACTTTAAATATATATTTATGGTACCACGATATGAGCTTGAGTCTCAGTATCGATGGTTAGGGAGCGTATATGCATTGGGATGCATAGCTGGCTATGATGGTAGAGGTCTATCCTGTTAGGTCTAGGTACTCATGCCCACTTTAGGTGCGTTTTGCATGTTGCCTACTAGTCAAGTTGAGACCGTCTTGTAGTCCAGTGAGAGTCCTTTAGTGCGGATATATATATATTTATGGACTAGATAATTATTGTTGAGTTATCTAGGATGTATCTGCGTATCGGGTCTCTGTTTGGATTGTAGTTAGAATATAACTTGTTCGTGGGCCTGACCCACTCTTATTTTTTCAGGTATTGGACGGCTCCACTCTTAGAGCTTGTTCATGCCGAGTAGAGACGGTCACTCATTTTTCTGACGACGTAGGATTTCTCTTCATGGTTTAGCTTTGGATTTTATTTCAGTTGTTTACTTTCAGTTTGGATTTTATTAGGGGTCCATTGGTGGATTCCCGAGTTGTTCTAGTATTGGAGGATTTTAGAGATTCTATTGGAGGTTTTGGATATATTAAATTTTATAACTGTTAAGGATTTTTATTTGAGAATTCTTTCAGCCTTTATTTTATTATTTCTTAATTCTTTTTGTAATCCTGCTTGTTTAAATATTAATTGTCTGGTATCTCTCGGATCTGTGCTCAGACTTGATCACCCGTGACTCTACAATTGAGGGGTATCACAACTTTCTTCCAACTTCGAAATCCTTCCCTAGTAAATGCATTGGTCCCAGGATGCGCCGTTGGTTTCGCTCCAAAAAGAAAGCAAGGTAAACAAAATGCAGCATCCTTTAAAGGAGAATACTTTAACCAGGTAGGAAATAATTTAAACCAAGATGATTGAAACTGATAAAGATGCTTTTCCGATCCAGAAAGCGGATATTCTGAAAGCAGAATTTGGTATGCTTTCGCTTTGATATAAGCTCGTCGAACTTCATCACGTTTTTCAATAGGATAATCCCAATTTGACGACGTAATCCTGGATCACGTTCTAAAAAGATAGGATCAACTTTTGTATGTTCAACTCTTGGAGATTTTAGAGGACGCTGATTATCATGAATCGAAACATCAACATTAGAAGCAAAAGCCGTAGAAGGCACATCACTTTTTTTTAAAAAAATGTCAATAGTTTTTTTGGCTTCACTATTGTATAACACTGTACCTAAAGAGGGTAATTCAAATATAAAATTTTAATACCTAGGGTTTTACATTGTAATTTAAACCATCGATCCTAAATTCCTAATAAGCATAATTGAGTAAAAATAATATTGCGCCCTCATTACATATAAAACAACTAATTTAAACTATAAAAAGTTATCACCCACAATTGTGCGCCTATGCAGTGCCTAAAATATAAATTGTGCGCCTATGCAGAGTATACAAAATAAATTGCGTGCATGTAAAGTGTCTAAAAAATAAATTGTGCTCCTATGAAGTGTCTAAACAATAAATTATGCGCTTGTGAAGTGTCTAAACAATAAATTGTGCACATGTAAAGTGTCTAAATAATAAATTGTGCATTTGTGCAGTGTCTAAACACTTTATATCTTGAAAATGTGTGCATGTGCAGTGTGCATAAGACAACGGCAACATAATTAGATGGAGTTAGTGTACCATGAAAGTCAAGTTCGTGAGCTTATAATTTGTTTTCCAAGTTTCGACATCGACAACACTTCTTTAAGTATTTGAGTTTTGCTTTAACATCTTTAGGATGATCACTTGAATTAAAAGAGAGGAAAAAAAAATCAGGTCATAACCAATTAACCAAACATGCTAGTATATCTATACAGACTATACTTTGTGTCTGAGGAGAAAAAATAAAATAATAAGTAATTTTTAGGTAAGTGAAATTTGACCAGAGTTATAACAAGAATAATACTCATACAAAATATAATTTCTCATCTCCTTCCATTACCATTATTTTCTTTCCTTCTATTGTACCACACTAACCCTTAGTTTTGGTAAATAGAGAATGACATTTTCTTTCCAAACAGGGGATTTAATTAATTGAAAATTTGAAATGGTCCAGTTGATTGGACACCACACACGTACACTATCTTTTACAAATCAATATCTTGCTTTTTTTATTACTTTAGCACAAATTTTTAATCACGAACACTGACGGGAAAATGGTGGGTTTCTTAACCTTCTGTTTGGTTCCAGAGAAAATCGAGCGAAAGAGGAAATCAAATTAAAAGACTATGAAGCATGGATTTCAAGCTCAAACGGTGAAAATTCATATTTGAATTTCATCTCTTCACTTTGCATTTTCTCAGCAACCAAACAAAGCAACAAATTCGAGAAAGGGTTTACGAATTACGAGTTCACGAATACTTTTGGTTAACGAAAACCTAGAACCTTGAACTCACCATCAGACAAAGAGAGAGA